AGAACCACCATCATTGAATTATTGCTCAGGAGGCTGAGCCAGCTGGGCAGTCTGGCCATAAGCTGGGACCATTAAATTGGGGACCTGGCTCATGAGGTGGTCAGTTGGCTCTGGCTGTCTGTTGGTGCTGGAGGTTGGGGGGTGATGGGGCGATAGGGCCACGTGTCTTGCCGTCTAGCAGGCTGGCCCAGGAGCAGCAAGAGAGAGCAGCCCTACACATAAGCACTTTCCCAGCCTCTGCTGGTGCTGTATTTGCCACCACTGCACTGGCCAAGAGTAAGTCACAAGGCCAAGCCCAGTTTCAAGCAGGTGGAGGAGTAGACTCGGTCCCTTGATTGGGGGAAGACTCGAAGGTCACAATGCAAAGAGGCGTGCTTACAGAGAAGGGAAGAATGTGTGGCCATTTTTGCAATCTACCACATTGTGCTTCAGGCTAGGCTGGATCCAGGGATTCAAGCAACATCTTTGGAATTTGATTTTGCTCCCTATCTTGGCTCTGCTGGGTAGCATGCTGGCTAGTAGCAGCTCTGGGACTAGGGGGTGAAAGACTGTCTCTCCCAAGGTTCTGAAGAAACTCCTGGAATTGACTCTTCCTGGCTCTGATTGGGTTGTGTGCCCATTTCTGAGCAGACGTTGCATTAGAGGAACGTGAAACTCTGATGGCCTCCTTCAGGGACCAGAAGGGAGAGTGAGCTCCACCCAACCACATGGACAGAGGAGGAGTGGTTGGCCAAGAAAACCAGGTGCCAACATCAGACGCTCAGTAGGTGAAGGAACGCAAACACCCAGAGAGTGCCAGACAGCCACATGAAGTGTCTGTTCATATACTTGGCCCATTCTTATGTGGGCTGTTTGTCTTTTTATTATTGAGTTGTAGGAGTTCTTTATATATGCTGGATACATGTCTGTTGTCAGATAAATATTTTGTGACTATCTTTTCCAAGTTGGCAGCTTTCCTTTCATTTTCTTAGTGGCGTCTTTTGATTTGATGAATAGAGTTTTCGATTTTGATAAAGTCTAATAACTTAACTTTCTTGTCGCTATTACTTGCTATGCCCTGTCTGAGAAGTGTGTTGCCTATCTCAAAGTCACAAAGATGTCCTCCAGGTGTCTCTTCTAGAAGGCTTACAGTTTTTGTTTGTACATTTAGATCTGCCTTGAGTGTATTTTTGTGTATAATGGGAGGTAAAGGTCGAGTTTCTTTGTTTCAAGATAGATATCTGGCACATCCCAGCTGTCTTCTGCGGTCACTCCATATCTGGAAGACACCTAGAAAACCCCAGTGTTTGAATGTTAAACAACACATTTCTAAATGACCTGTGGGTCAAAGAGGAAATGATGAGGGAAATTGGACTAGGGAAGGGACTGTCCTTGACGTCGCCTGTATGATGGGGACCTCCGCAACTCTGCTTCCTGCCCTCCACCCTGCCCTCCATCCCCAACCCCCATCCCTGACCCCACATCCCCCACCCTCCATTCCCAAACCCCCATCTCCAACCCCTCTCCTCTGCTCCCACATCCTCCACCCCCATCCCCCCTCACATCCATGCCCTCCAGCCCCTCTGAGGCTCCTTGACAAAGAGGCCAGCCGCACGCCCCCCAGAACACACAGCAAGATTCACAGAATTGGCACTGTCGTGGAGCGGCTGATATTCTAGAGAACCATCTGAGGTCAAACTTCACCTTCTTTTAAAAGCCCTGTATTTGTTTAAAACTGCATCCATCCACTCAGTGCTTGCACTGAGAACTCCCCTCAGGCCCCGGGGAAGCGAAACCACCACAGTCCTTGTTCACATGGGGCTTCTAAGTGGGGGATGCAGACGAAAACAAATCAGCAGATAAATAAAATAATTGCGGGCGTCTGTGTTCTGTCAAGGAAGCAAGAACCTCCTAAGATGGCCAGGGAGCTAGGAGGACGGGGCCAGCAAATACGCCCCTCGTCATTTGGCGGATCTTATAAAAGCCCTTGCCCTCTCCCTGCCTGATGTTTCAGGGAGCACTGTGTCTCCACGGATGCCGAGAACTGCCAGGAGGCGGGGATTGCCTTGGAAGCTCACAGGCACAAGCCCAGGGTCAGTTCGGGGCCCCCTCAGGGCCATCTGCTTGTCCTATTTCTGCTTTAGATTATATGCCCCTTGCACACGGCCTCGTTCTGGGTAGATGCTCCGGGCACCTTAATGCCATTGAACTGAGTCCCCGTCCTTGGGCCCTGGTCACCCGAGAGAAGGGGCTGTGGGGACAAAGTGGGAGACTGTACCAAGCACCTGCTCTGAGCGGCCCCACTGCAGGGATCAGGGAGTCAGGGCATGAACCGCAGTGGCTGAGCCTGAGAAAATGTTGCCCTTGACCCCTTCAACCTCAGGGCCTTCAGGACTGGACAGGAATGTAGGGACCATTCGATCTGAGTGCTTGGACCAAAGCTTGGGGTCGCTTTGTCACACCCTCCATGAGGCCCTCCAAGTGCCACTTGATTACCTCCATCAACAGGCCGCTCTTTGATTCCCAGGGCAGCCACACCAGCTTGGGAAAAGGCGGGCGCTTCAGGCGAAGGAAGCACAGTGTGCTGGCGCTGGGACAGAGTCCTCATTACACACAGAACACTAGCACTTCATATTTTTCTGAGCATGCCTATATATTTACCAGAAAACTGCATTTTCTGTGTCATTCTATAGACTAGTCAAAAAAGCCAAGCAGTTTTTTTTTTTTTTTTCTAATTTTATTTATTTATTTGACAGAGAGAGACACAAGGAGAGAGGAACACAAGCAGGTAGAGGGAGAGGGAGGAGCAGGCTTCCTGCGGAGCAGGGAGCCTGATGTGGGGCTCGATCCCAGGACCCTGGGACCATGACCTGAGCCGAAGGCAGACGCTTAACGACTGAGCCACCCAGGCGCCCCAAGCAGTTTTTTTCTTCTAAGATCCTGGGAGGAGTCTTTACCTTGTGTCTGGCCCCTCCAGGTCTGGTGAAAGCTGGGGGCCCCTTGCATGGACTCGGGCAAAGCAGGGGGTTGAAACTCACGGCAGGTGCTCTCAGACCCAAGGGCCCAGGTGGGCAATCTGGGCCAGCAAATCTGCTCACACACCACCTATTTTGAGAAATGGGGACATCAAAAATAGCAAGGCCCCAATTCTGTAGCCTGAAGCTCTCATCTCGAGAGCTGGTAATAAGCTAAGACAATAACTCCCAATCCTATGACATTTTCACAATGGAATCTTTTTTTCAGTACTTCAAACTCTTTGAGAGAGAAAAAAAAACTGGCTAAATAGTCTTTGAAGACAGAACAGAAGTTACCAGCAGCTTTGGGGCAGAACAGTCTGGCAAAGTCATGAAGCATGGCCCCGTTTGCACTTCCACGGGAGGCTGGCATTTCCCGGCCCAAGGGGATCTTATGCCCTGATTTGACGTGGCTGCCCATAAATCTGCAAGCAGGAGCAGAGGTTGTCTGGGGAAATTCTGGTAGAAACAACTGAAATCACACAAGTTTCTACTCGTGCTTGGTCGATAATGCCCCAAACCCAGGCAAAGTCTCCTGCTTCAGACAAACAATCAATATCCAAGAGAGCAGAAGGTTTATGAGTCCTAGAACTCAGGGTGCTTTGGTGATGGTTCTTCCTCATCCCAGACATTTCCTGGGAGACGGGGTTTGGGCCAGGCCACGTGTACGTGGAGTTCACACCAAGTGAAAGATATTTGCCAAAACCCACGACAATAAGGGGCCTCCTTTCTCCCGTTTTCCGGATTTCTGAGAGCACCACCTGGGTGGATACTGTTCTGGAGATGCTTCGCCATGACACCCTGGAAGGATGCCCTTCATCAGTCATGAAATATTGATCAAACCCAGGCTTTGGGCAAGACTGGCGGCTGCCGTGAGCTGGGTTTCAGACAGCACACGGTACAGAGGGAGGACTGCATGCACGCACGACCACAGCGGGCAGCCTGCCGCGGAAAAGCGACGAGGGAGCCAGCGCCTGGAGGCAAAGCCCCGAACAGACGAGAGGCAGAGGTGGCCTCCGCCTCCGAGGGGACTTGGGTGTCAGGGGCAGGGACAGAAAAATAAAACATAATCACGCTTGACTCACAAAGCAAACGATGTTTACCTAGTTGCAGTAAGCAGATCCTGAACAATGATTTGTCCCAAATCGGGGAGGCCGCCACTTGGAGAGAAATCACTGGCAAAAAGGGAGGTAGACACGTAACTATTCTGCAGATGTCGCCTACAACTGATGGATCAAGGGGCTGCCAAGAAAGCAGTGGTTTTGTTCAAAAGTATAGATGACGTAGATGCGTGAAGACTTAAGAGTGGAAAGCAGACGCCTCTGAGGAGTGGGGAGGGGGTGGGGACTGTTGTCTGTCCTTACGCACCCCTCAGCGCTGGTCGACATGCATATTCTTGTGTGTGCACACATGACCCGCACGCGTGCACACACGCGACACATGACACACGGCACACACGCATGACACGTGTTTCCACATGGCACACCACACACATGATGCACAGTGTGCACACACGACTCATGACATACACACGTGGCACGTGTGCACGCGACACACACACGCACACACAACACGCATAACACACGTGCGCATGCACATGACATTCGCCCTGCACACATATGACACATGCACGCATGCATGACGCATGGCATGCAACACAACGCACACGTGACATGCAGACACACGAACGTGCACACACGCGACTTGTGCACACGCGTCCTACTTGGCTTTACAGACACATCGGAGGGAAGAGGGAGCAGCCCGCCCGCCCGAGGGGAGTGTGAGGGCCGGCGATATGGCCTGACAAGGGGAGGGGATGTCGGCGGGGCATCTCTGGGAAAGCCCAGATCCTCCCATCGCCAGGGGAACGTGCCATTTTAAACCCTCGTTTCTCCTGTAAACTTTGCAGAACCATGAAGAAACCCTGAGGCCCCTGGGACGGGGTGTAGGATCCAGGAACCCTGGGGGCCCGGGCTCACAGCTCTGCCTCCACCTTGGCTTCTGCAGCCCTGCTGCCCCCCGGGGCTGCTCACACGTCCCAGCAGGAGACGGGGAGGCACGTGCCCATCCGGCTGAGCGAGCCAACTGTGCTCCAGCCGGTCCTGAGCTCACCCCTGGGGGTGACCGAGCCTCCCCCAGGCCCTGCACCTGGCTCGCCCGAGTGGCCCCACGTGGGCCCTCGTCACCTGCCGCTCGGGGCTACAGTAGTTTGCTGCCGCCCACGCACGCGGCACAGGGGTGACTGTGGGCCCTGGGCAGGAGAGGGAGGGAAGTCATGGTGGCTGGCCCCCCCCACTCCTCCGAGGCCTGTCCTCCTGAGCCAGTGCTGGGAGCCAGTGACGACGTCGGCTCGGCCTCAGGTCGGCCGAGGGCTGTGGGTCTCGCTGTGGCAGGAACGGGGGCCACGAGCCCCAGCTGGATTGGGACCACAGGGGGCTGCACCCCGGGTTGCACCGGGCCTTGTCATGCTCAGACACAGGCGGTGAGCTGGAGTCCCCACTGCAGGGTAGCCACAGGGCGACGTGGCCTCCGCCCACACTGCTCCTTCTTTTAAAGCAGAAACAACCGTTATTTCCCTGAAAGTCCCACCCGGCTCCAGGTTCACGGTGACACCGGCCGAGCCACGGCTCCCTTGGGAGGCCTCGATGGGACAAGAGCCTGGGTCGTGCACTCAGCCGGGCATGAGTCCAGTCCCCAAGCCCCAGGCCTCAGTTTCCTCCATGGAGTGGGGAGAAAATCCAGCTCCCAAGATTCTTGTTCTAAGAAGGGCTTCAAAATGAGAGAACGTGCCAGGAGCCGAGGTCCCGGCTGGGGTCGAGACCGCCCCGCTGCCCCGTCTGCCCGCCCACCGCTCTCCCCGACAGGCTGCCTTACGCCTTCCCGTCCTCTGGCATTTCCCTGGGCCTCTTCCTCCCCGCCCCCCGCCACGCTACCCCTCGATGTGACAGCCAATTCTCTGAGGTGAGTGCCGGCACAGTCACACATTTACAAAACACCACGCTTCACCTGGGGCAAGCGTGGCGCTATGTTCTAGCACGTTTTTCTCTTGGCAACACAGGGCAGCCCAGAGCAGCTAAAAGAGCCGAGCTTGGAGCTGAGACTACAGAGAGCCATCCTGCTGAGGCTCTTAATAGCTGTGAGCCCTGGGGCCCTCGGTCTGAGCCAGCTCAGAGCAGTGGGGACAGGGCAGGAGGGGGACCTGGACCTGGAAGCTGGGGGCAGTGGTGGTGGTGGTGGTGGGGGGACAGGAGAAACCCTGGCCCGGAGCCTGCAGATCCGTCTCAGCCCTTGGGAGTGGGCGCCCAAACCTTAGCTTGGGAAGAAGGACGGTATTCACAGTCTCCGCACCATCTGGAATCAGTGCTTTGCTTTGGTGCTCATCTCTCTTTCACGGGGCACGTGGCCTATGGCTGCTTGGATCCCAGTTTTCTGAGAGAAGGGGTGCATCCCATGACAAGAACCTCCAGTGCAGTCCTGGGCCCCGAGAGCTGTTCCTTCTGAGCTCTTCTCTGCTCCAGGTGACGATGGAGGACACGGATTCCCCTCCTGGCGTGTATCTACCCCACTGGCCGGCCCGGCACCTCCACCACCTGCAAGCAGGCTTTCTTCCCTGTCCAGCACCAAACCCCTTGTCAGCATCACGGGCCCCGCACTGCACACCTGCTAGTTCCCATGTCTCCTTCTCTACCCCATCAGACTCCCCGATCACCCCCTTCTGGACACACTCTCCCCACATGGCTCTGAGACACCAAAGTTCCGTGTCGGGAAAATCAGGGAGGACTTCAGAAAGGGCCACTAACAGTGGTGACGCCACCACGTCCCCGAGACTGGGGTCTGGTACGCCTTTCTGCCACCCTCACCCCACTGAGCTATTTAATAAGCTGCAGAGAAGAGTGGCCAAGAATTCTTGTGGAAAACAGCATAACACGAACAATCCCTGTCCACGGAAACACAAATCCACGGTGCCTGCTGGAGTGGACTGGTCCTGCCCTGTGGCTAGAACTGGCCGAGGTGCAGGGAAGTGTGTCGTGGGAATCTCCTGCAGACTGGTTGTAACACCTGATTGGCCCCTCGGTCATTCATGAGTTAAACAGAATCTTCACTGTTCATTTTGCATTCGTGAGACTCATGATTTTTGCCTTTTTAAAGCATTCTTTAGTGTGCTTGCTTGCTCCTTTGTCTTCCGCTGCTGACCGTTCTCCTCCAGCGTGGCCCCAGACATGTCCTCCATCCCTGGGCCTTTCTGCCCACAGCCCCCGGTGATCCTGTCCAGCCACCGACCTCATGACTGCAGGTGTCCAAGACTGACCTCTGTCCCCAGCCCCACCCTCCGCTAGAGGCCCCAGGCTGGTGAGTCCAGGCTCCTCGCCACGGCCACCAGGCCACCTCACAGGAGTCTCACATGGGGCATGTCCAAGAGAGCGTGGGGTGCACACTCTCCACCCCTCAGACCAGTTCTTCCCTGGGCTCCCCAGTGTGACTAGCGGCTGAAGCCATGAATCTTGGAGCAGTCCCTAATTCCTCTTTCTCCCACACCCCACATTTTATCCATATATCAGCTAATCCTGTGGGCTTTCCCCTTAAATAGACCCCCTGCGTGAGCTGGTGGCAGCCTGAGCCCAATCTATCCTCCAGCTGCAGCCTCACCTACTTCTCCACCCCATGCTCCTGCCTCCTTCCCTGCACTCACCGCTCTCCTGGCATGCGACCTGCACATGCCTTCCCAACCTCAGGCCGTTTCTGCTCCAGACATCTTCCGTCTTCCCTCAGATGCCTGCAGGGAGTTGCTCTCTCTCTTTGGGCATCAGCTCAAATGTCACCGACTCAAAGTGGTTTTTCTGCAGCTTCCTTTAGAAACAGCACCCCTGGGGTGCCTGGTGGCTCAGTAGGTTAAGCAACTGACTCTTGATTTTGGCTCAGATCATGATCTCAGGGCCCCTCCCCCTGCTCCCACTCTTTCTCTCAGAAAGAAAGAAGGAAGGAAGGAAGGAAGGAAGAAAGAGAGAGAGAGAGAGAAAGAAAGAAAGAAAAAGAAAGAAAGAAAGAAAAGAAAGAAAGAAAGAAAGAAAGAAAGAAAGAAAGAAAGAAAGAAAGGAAGGAAGGAAGGAAGAAAGAAAAAGAAACAGCACTTCTATCTCTCTCCAACCCTTTTGCTTATGAGCTTTTGTTCATGGCATTTGGCACCATCTCCCATTGTATGACATCTTGATGAACTTTTATTGTCATCTTATGCACTAGAATATAAATACTCTTGTCTGTTTTGTGCACCACTGTATATCCAGAATCTGGAAGAGTACCAGGCAATAGTAGGTTGTCAATAAATATGCGTTGGATGATTGATTGCTTTCTCTACAAGAGACGGCTCCCTTGCAAGTGGACAGAAGCATAATAGGCACCGATGGGGGCTCAGAAATGAAACACAACACTGCAAGAGAGGAAGAGGTGTGAGCAAAGTCAAGTGGGCGGGAACAGTCTACTGTTAGGTACACTTGTCTGTCCATATGTGTCCCTCTTTCAGTTCAATCCAACAAACCTCTCTTGAGGGACCTACTATGTGCCAGGCACTGTTCTGGACCTGAGACAGACATGAATAAGACCCAGTCTAGCCCTTGAGAAGCTCAGTGTGGGGAGAGGAGCTTGGGATGGAGGCGACTGACAACCAGGGAGACATTGCTCTGGCAGAGGCCCCATGCAAAGAAGAGCAGAGACATGGGCCAACCCAGCTTGTGAAGGTCAGGATGCCTGGGGGAGGAGCAGCTTGAGTTCTGAAGAATAGACAAGAACTTGAAGGCAGAAAAGGAAACAGTTAAAAAAAAAAAAAAGAAGTCGTTTTATGGACTGTAATACTGGCTGAGAATTGTATCAGTCAGGATAATCGAGGTTATGCTGAAGTAACAAACATCTCCCAAATCCCAGTGGTTTCAGACAACGCCAAATAATTTCTCGCTCAGATTACATCTCTGTCACCTGTCAACGGGGGTCGGGGACAATGAGCAGGGAGGCTCTGCTCCCCGTCGCCCCTCTGGGGAGATGGGATGGCCGTGTCCTTGAGCGCCCCTGGATGCCAGGCAAAGGGGGAGGGAGCCCCGGAGTCCCATGCCAGCTTGACCTACATGCTTGACCTACTTCTACCCCCAGCTCATGGGTCAGACCTTGCGCCACACTCCCCACTCCCCCAAGAAGAGAGAACAGCAGTCCTGCCACGTTCAAGGACAGAGCAAACAGCGTCACGGGCGTCTGGCACGCGTGGGTATTCCCAGGGCTGTGGCCTGCCCACCCCATCCTTTCCTTCTTCTGCAACAGAAGCCCAGTGGGGCTGGCGTTGGCCTTCAGCCCAGCCGAAAAGCTTTGTTTCCCAGCTCCCACCCCTGTGAGGTGGAGCCACATGACAGAACAGTGAGCAGCATGTTAGTGGAGGAGCTAGATGGAGCTTCTGGGACATGGGCTGCACCTCCCTGCCTGCAGCGTGAAGCGCACAGCAGTGTTAGGGGTGACTCGGCCATCATGAAGACACACGGCGACCAGCGCGAGGGCCACGTCTGCATCCTCGGAGGGCTGAGCGGATTGCTCGCGCATGTCACGGATTACCACACCGTCCTTCAGCGGCTGCTATGTGAGGAGAAAGGTCCCACCCCGTCCAGGGCTCCGTAAGCCAGGGTGCGTAAGAATCATCCAGAAAGCCTGTCAAAACCTGGGTTCCTGGACCCGACACCCAGAGATTCTGATTCATGGGTCCATGAATTTTCTTTCCTAATAAGCTCCCGTGTGATGGCTGACCGTGGCCACGCGGTGAGGAGCAAACTGAAGAGGGGGAGAACACAGGGACAAAACTGTGAGCCGGAGAGGGAGGTACAGGCGGCTGGGAAATCGTGGAAGCCACAGATATAAGCTAATTAACCCACGAGCCCTCCCGCGGCTGGGGCCGTGTTCTATTCATCATGGACACGCCGGCCATATTAACCTTTCCTCCCTCCGCACCCCCGCATCCGGCCCGCGTTCTGGTCCACCCGAACACTCACTGTTGGGTGAGCAGAATGACATCATTCACTCTGCTGTTCACTTCTGGATGCCACGCCGGCCGGGCGCCGTGTGCTCTTCCCCGGGCTGGGCCTGGCATGGGCCTTTCGGGCCTGCTCCAGGTGATGCTGAGCTGCCGGTCCACAGACCACACCTGGAGTCACAGAGAGCTGGGGGGCCCTCTCCAGCTCTCAGGATGCACATGGGGGCTGAGACCAGTGTGTGGCCCTCTCTGCAGGCTAAGGGACTCTGTGGGGAATCACCCTCACCCTGCAGCCCCAGCTCCCTCTCCCCGAGTCACAGCAGACCGCATGGGTCCACTCTGCTGTGATGACTCATGGCAGTTTCCTGAGTTAATTTCTCGGAGCAAACAGCTCAGGGCCACCTGGTTCCCTTCTTTAAATCATAGCCTCCCCATGGCCTTTGTGAGCGCCCTGATTAGGAGGCTGCGGAGGAGGGTGGTCCTCCAGCTCTGTGTCAGTGGCAGCCGGCTACTCTCTGTTAACTGGACTTCTCAGCTCCAGTTTCCCGGTTGGGAAGACAGCGCGGACCTTTTCCCTGAGAGCAGAGATTCGGGACCCTATGCATCCTCTGGGAATGGCTCATCATCTCCTGCGGAGCACTCAGGGGAAGGGGCACTCGGGTGGGCAAGGGGAACAATGAGCAGGTTTGGCATCAAGGATGGGTGGACACCGGGCTCCTTCAGCCCGGCCTGGAGCGGGCTGTGGCTTCCTCCAGAAAAATGTGCGTGCAGCACTGAGCCCAGCACGGGCAGGAGCCTCTGCACATCTGGACAGAGGAGCTCCAGACCAGGGGCAGAGAGGGCACAGGGGAGAGGGGGCTGGAAGGGTGAGGGAGCACCAGGGACTGGGCGGGGCTCGCCGCGTTCTGTGAGCGGGACAGCATGTCCCGTGTGTCCCACAGAAGAGCAGGCGGGGGCCGAGGGGCTTGCCCAAAGCCACACAACTCTGGCAGTGTTCAAACTCAGGGACCCCCCAGATCCCAAGCAAAAGCCCCCGGGGGGGCAACCGGGTGGGGCGCCGCAGGTATGGCGGAGGTATAGGGCTCGGGGGAGGGGCCCAGATACAGGAGCAGCGACGGCTGAGACACGGGGCTTGGGCACAGACTCAGGTGCAGCCTCTGGCTCGACGCAGGACAAGATGCCAACCCCAGCTCTGCAGAAGGAGCAGGTGGCTCAGAGGACACAGAGGTCAACTGCAGAGGAGAATGGGTCCCGCTGGGTTCCATCATGGGTCCTCAGGGGGACAGTGACCTTGTCCCTGAAATAGGGAGCAGTGCAGGGCGCTGGGGGAGAGGATACACCAGGTTGGGTATGAGCGTGTTGGTTTAGGGGCGTCAGGGGGTGGGGGCTGGTGCCTGAGTTTGAAGGGAGAACCTGGCTGGAGACCGGCCCCCTGAGCCTCCGTGCGTGCGTGGGGTCCCTGCCCTGGGAGGGTCCAGAGCCGGAGGGCAAGAGCAGGAACAGGAGCGTGGTGACAACCGCTGGGGCCAGGAGCCCACCGCGGAGCCTGAGGACAGGGGCAAGTGGAGGAGGGTGAGCACACAGGGCTAGGAATGCCGGGGACCGCATCCCAACGGAAAAGCCAAAGGACTGGGAGGGGAGGTCGCAGGAATTGGGAATGGGGTCAGCTCTTCAAGAAGCTTGGCTGAGAGAGGGCGGTTGGGGCTTCTCTGCCTCTCTCTCTCTCTCCCATCTCTCTCTGTCTCCTTGCAGATCGGGATCAGTGGATCTGTCAGCTGGGGCAGCCATGACACAGTCCCACACACGGGGCTCACACAGCAGAGACTCCCTGTCCCCCATCCTGGAGGCTGGAAGCCCAAGGTCCGAGTGCCGCAGGGCGGGGTCCTCCCGAGGCCTCGCTCCTCGTGTGTGGACGGCCGTCCTCTCCCTGGGTCCTCACGGGGTCGTCCCTCCGGGCGGGTCTGTGTCCTGACCCTCTCTTCTCACTAGGACCCCGGTCACGTGGGATCAGGGCCACCCAGGTGACCCTGTTCTACCTTAATCACCTCTGTAAAGGCCCCAGCTCCAGATGCAGCCACATCCTGGGGTCCTGAGGGTGGGGCTTTAACACAGGAATCTGGAGGACGTGTTCACCCCTCCGCAGCCCCCATTCCCCGGAGAAGTAAGAGCACGCTCCTCCCGGCTGTGGATGACCAAGACCGGGGGTTATCCTTGACTTGCTCCCTCCCCAGGTCCTCCTGGGCTGGCCTCTACCTCCTCCAGCGCAGGCCTTGAGTCCGGCACGTCTTGTGCGAGTACCTGCTCGGGCCTGGCGGCTGCAGGACCCCCAGCTGCCCTGCTGACCCCCACTCTCGTCCCCTCCCCTCCATTCTCCACACAGCCATCCTTTGTAAAGTGCAAAGTGGGTTAGATCACTCCCTTCCGTAAAGCCTTCAGTGCCTCTCCGTTGCTTTTTGGACAAAGGCTGAAATTCAGAGTGTGCCAATAGGCCCTGCCTGGTGCGACCCATCTGCCTCTCAAGCCACATCTGAATGAGTGACCCTGTGTCCTGTGCCCTGCATGTCAGTCATCTTCCCATTTCCTGGATGTCCCGAAGCCATTTCCCTCACCAGTGATTTGGCAAAGACTGTTGCTTCCTCCTGGAACGTGCTCCCCACCTGCTGGTGTCGGCTTAGACACAACTTCCACCAGAAACGTCCATGCTCTCCCAACCTATCACTAGGGCAAGCCTGTTTATGGAGCACCTGCGGCGTGCGAGACAGTGTTGCAGAGGTCGGGTTAGAACACGCACCACCGAAGGACAGGTAACAAACAGGATAAAACACCTAAGTCAGGTGATGCTTTGTAGAGAGCAGCCCACCTCTTGGAGGAAATGGTCTTTTGGCTGAGACCTATTAGACAAAGGAGCCAGGTATGTGAAGGCCAGGAAAGAGCACCAGATGAACAGCCTGTGCAAAGGCCCTGAGTTGGGATGAGTGTGGTTTGTTTGCAGAACAGAAGACCATGTGGCTGGCCAAAGCCCATGAAGACATGGTAAGAAGAATACCCTGGAGGGTGGGACGATAGGCCAGGCTGAAGCCTATGGGGCTTGTAAGCCCAGGCAAGGAGTCTGGATTTTACCTGCACAAAATGGTAAGCCACTGGTGGGTTTTATTTATTTATTTATTTACTTATTTGAGAGAGAGAGAGAGAGAGTCAGGGAAGGGACAGAGGGAGAGAGAATCTCAAGCAGACTCCCCACTGAGTGTGGAGCCCATGGCGGGGCTCAATCCCATGACCCTGAGATCATGACCTAAGCTGAAACCAAGAGTCGGACGCTCCACTGACTGAGCCCCCCAGGCGTCCCTCCACCGGTGAGTTTTAAGTAGAGACGGGACACGATCTGGGTCATGTGTTAAAAGATCACTCTGGTCATTGTAAGGAGAGAGTGTCCGGTGAGGAGGAACCGGGGAGACCTGTCAGGAGATTGTTGTCGATGCCCAGGACAGACTTGACAGTGGACATGGAGAAACGTGGACCGACTACGTCTATGTTTTAAGGAGAGACTTAGGAGGCCCCGTGGAGGCTGCATGAAGGGGACAGGAGGGGGCAACGCACAGATAACTCGGGGTTCTGACCGGAGCACCCGTCACAGACACCCCCAGAGCTGCTCGTTCATAACGGTGGCCACGTCCACCACAGGTCACGTATAGCGTCTGCTCTGGCATGCTGTCCTCCACCAGATGTCAGCTGCCCGGCGGGGGCCCCTCTCGGTCCCACGCTCAGTCACAGCGGCAGCCCCGGCACCCAGCACAGAAGGCTCGGCAGGTGCACAGCAAATGTCCCCGAGGGGACCAGTGACGGAATGGTCCATATTGGGAGGCCAGCAGCCCTTTGGGCAACGTGAAAGTCAGCTGCAGTGGGGACTCCTTTTTGGAATGGTCATTTACATATAGGATATATTCACAGAGCCCAGAGTAATTAGAGCAATTAGAGGAATGAGCCCAAATCGTGCTCCGGGACAGCCTCAGTCCCAGGCGTTGGCTTTAAATGCGGCTGCTTTGTCTTCTTAGCCAACAGGTAGTAGCCACAATGCTTCCCCAGATCCCTAGGAAGAGGCCGTAGACTCCTTTAAGTTTCCAACACCTGCTTCAGGAACGGCTCAAGTCACGGCTGGCGATCCTACGTGAGTCAGGAGGAAAACAGGCTGGGGTCCTTTCTGATTCCACTTGGCTACAGCTGACCCATGGGGCAGCCACCAGGCTGTACCGTTTGTGCGCCACGTTTCCCAGGGAGAGCGTGTTCAGGCCTCACGGTTTGGGAAACGGCCTCCCTTCCTCACCTCTGGGTGATGCATTAGAACTAAGAAGAAGCAGGGTGCCTGGGTGGCTCAGTCGGTGAAGTGTCTGCCTTCGGCTCAGGTCATGATCCCAGGATCCTGGGATCAAGCCCCACATTGGGCTCCCTGCTGGGTGGGGAGCCTGCTTCTCCCTCTGCTTCTTCCTCTGCTTGTGTTCCCTCTCTCTCTCTCTCTCTCTCAAATAAATCTTAAAAAAATCTTAAAAAATCTAAAATCTTAAAAAAAAAAAAAAGAACCAAGAAGAAGCTTCCGTGTCTGTCTGAAGGGAAAGTAAGATGTTGAGACTTTTCAGGCACATGTGTTTCCTCTTTGGAAAATGACTGCTTGCGGCAGCGGCTCGCTTGGACAGAGTAAGTGCGTAATGAGTCTGTGCTGAGTGGTGCTGGGTCACAGGCAGGAAGGATCTCAGGCACCGAGAAACAGGCTCTTTGGAACACGAAAATGAGCCCTAATGACCCAGAAAGGTGTTTATGTCTCACACTGGGCTCCTGATGATGGACTACGTGACAATGTTTGCAATCTCGTTATTGAGACCGCATCGATTCTGGAACATGGTTGGGTGTGCGTGCTCTTCACTGCTGAAAGAATGGCTCGTCTTAATAAGCTCCGGAGCAAAGGCAACGGGCTTTCAGGGATGCATCGCATAAAAGCCATTTGGCTGTCCGCAGATGTCCCCGAAAGCGAAGCAAATGTACCTTGTGAAGATTCAGAGGAGGCCAAGGTGTGGGGTGGTCCCAGAAGTATGAGACATTGGGTACGTTGGAATCTCCGGAAAACAACCAATAATTTTTTTAGTATAAGCATGTCCTGAATATTGCATGGACATACTTCATGCGTTTTTTAAAAAGAGATTTCAACGTAATTGGCTGCCCTGTACTTTACCTGGTAACCCTGCTTGGGGAGCAAAGTTCTCCACGGGGGAGCTTAAATGCATTTGACATACTGTTTCTGAAGGTTGACGTTTTGTTTCTGCAAATGTTAAACTCTTCACAGAAAGGAGGAGACCAATTTAATAAGTAATCTAACAAGCTCGTGTTTAGCGGGGTAGCTTCGCAGAAAGGGCACATTTTCACCACACCCTGCAGGGCAGGGACTCTTGTCCCACTTTGAAGATCACCACGTAAGGCTCAGAGAATGGTCAGAATTACTAGCTCAATCAGCAAAGCACCCAAGGTTCTTGAGTTGAAAGCAAGAGAAAAATGGATTCTGACTAGAATGAGCAGAATAGAAATTTATTAGAAAAATCCCGGTCAGGGGCTCCTGGGGGGCTCAGTCGTTAAGCCTCTGACTGTTGGTTTCCGCTCGGGTGGAGATCCCCTGGTCATAGGATTGAGCCCCACGTGGGGCTCTGCGCTCAGCGTGGAGTCCGCTTCAGATTCTCTCTCCCTCTCCCTCCCACTCACTCTCTCTCAAATAAATAAATAAATAAAATCTTTAAAAGAAAAAAAATTAAAATAAAGGGCAGCAGGCCCCACTGTCAGAAGGGAGGGCATGCTGCTCCAAAGCCATGCGGTAGGAGTTGCAGAACTGGTCCGGTGAGGTGGCGGCAGCAGGACCCTGAGTTCCGGATGTCACAGCCAGGACACCTGCAGGCTGGCCCCGGTTACGGCACATCGATTGGACAAATGATTCAGGGCAGATGCATCTGATTGGCTGGGAGTTCAGGGGCGGTGCATCAGGTTGGCTAAAAAGGTCGGTCAGTCACATCTGATGGGCCCGTGATTCTGGGCAGGTGCACCTGATAGGTCAGGTGGTTCAGGACAAGGACACCAGATTGGCTCGGTCAGGCCACATTCCTGTGCCCAGTTCCCAGGAAGGCGGGAAGCCAAGGGTCTTGGGCGCGAGCGGAGAAAACTGCACCACCAGCAGCTGTTCTCTATGCGCCGCTGGGAGCCGCGGGCCGGAAAACTGAAGGGAGTCCGAGCTAGCCCGAGTCTGAACCCCCATCCTCTCCCTTTCACCTGCTCTCCCTCAGTAAACCTGGCTCCTGGGTTGGGCTCCTGGGTGGGCTGGGGGGCCATGGGCTCTGCTCCCTCCTGCCCCCCCCCCCAGTGCCACACAGCTAGAGCTCCAGCTGCAGGGCATATCTCCGGCACTGCTGCCCGTGGAATGAGTAAGTGGGCCACAGAGGCGTAAGCCCCCACAGCGACACCCCCTTCTGGTCGGGTGTCTCGTCATCCCGCAAACCTGTGGACCGCACGGCTAAGCCGCAGCCGGATGTTCTGGTCTGCCCAGATGGTCCCCGCCGCACACCTGTCGCCCCCGCCTCCTTATGGGTGGCGCTGCCCTCGTTCCCCAGACCATCCAGTCTGGATGGCAGATGCTCACCCCGCAGACGGAAGCTCCTCAGGGAAACACCCACGAAGGGGCTTGTCACCACACGCTGCCATTTCACCGTTGTGTCCCTGGATGTGCACCTTGCTCGGAGTTTGTTTTTCCCATTTGGATGTCCCGTATTTCCTCTGTGGTTTTCCCAGAAACATAAGTGGAAGCTGGTGAGAAGGACCTCTGGGTCTCGGCTCACATCATCACATCTCCACTGCAGCTCGGCACAAGTTCGGGATCTGTCTGCACTTTTCGCAGACAGTGTCGCTTCTCTGTCCCCTGCGCTTGGCGAATGCACCGATCTTTAGTGCGGCAAATAGTCATGTTTTCCCTGGAGCTGTCTTCCAGCTGCCACTGGTGGTTCCTGGCCACAGAACAAGTTTCCAGGCCTGTCCTCCAACTTCCAGGTTCTATTTAGGGTCTGGAACAGCGAGGGTTTGCGATGTCTACTCTGTTAAAATCAGCGGCGTCCCTGCCTCCCAGAGGGCTGAGCTGGTGGCTTAGCCGATGAACACTCACCCGCTCACTGTGTGCACCCCCAGAGGGCAGCCATATGCCAGATGCATCCCTCACCCCTCACCCCACCTTGTCTCTCCCTCCTCGCCCCTGGAGGCCCCAGCTCAGCCTGAGCTCTGCCCGGGACAGGCAGGATAGCCAGCCCACCGAGGTGGTGGGCTCCACCCAGCCAGAGGCCCCCAGCTCAGGAGGACCGAAGGGTGGGTGCTGTACCCACACACCCCAGAGGACAGCTGGTAGAAGCCTGCACTGGCAGAGAGTGACCCTGCCTCCATCCCATTGTGGAGGCTGAGCTCTCACCTTCCTGTGTGTGATTGACTACAGGCTCCAGGCCATCAGCCACGGCATGAGTCCACCCCAAACCTGGGCTGCATTAACAGGAGTATTATGTCCAGGACAAAGGAGGTGAGAGCCTGGATTTAAATCAGTTCAGGGGAGTATGAAAACTGGGTTCCCTGGAAAGCGGCCCCCAGTCACAAAAGAGTGAATGAGCCTGAAGGCACAGGCTGGAGGCTCAGTTCAGTGTAACAGCAACCGGGCAGCCAAGCACTGAGCCGGGGCCAGCTCTGGGAGGACGGCTGGGCACGTCACACCTCTGGAAAGCTGGTGACCCCCCTGCACTGTTGGTCCCATCCCCCCCCACCCCGAGCAGAGGGCTTCCAAAACCTGTCCACATCCTGCAGCTGGCTTGGGTAGTGCAGTCTGGCTCGGGCTCCATCGCCACTCAGGACCACCAGGGCCTCTCCGTGTGTAGAACCTTCTAGTACTGAAGGGACCCATAAGCCAAGGAGGCAGCTCACCCACCACATGTCTGCAGTCTGTGTGGCTGAGGAGGTGGTCCTGTTCCGGCCAGTGGTCGAGTTGTGGCAGAATGAGGGGTCTCGGGAAGCAGCGAGTCCCCCACTGGGGTGGGGGCGGGGGGTTCCTGCTGCAGGGGCCGGGGCTGGGCACGGGGCTTCATGCCCCAGCTGGGCCTTGGTGCAGACGGCTTCTCACAGCCGCTTCCACTCGAGGGCCCTCTGACAAGCTTCTGGAGAACCGCAAAGAGCTCCCAACCCCCCTCCCCAGGTGGGACCCTCCCTGGGATCTGCTGGGCAGCCAAGGTAAGGTGGGGAGGGAGGCCGGACCACGAGAGAGGGCTGGCCAATGGGCCCGACAGAGAGCAGCGGCCAGCAGGGCCGGCAGGAGGGGACTCCTGGGGCCACAGCCCGGTCTAGCCGGCAGGAGAGTGCTAGCCTCCGGGCCCTGCTCGGCATGGGCAGCCCAGCTGGGGCTGGAAACGGCCATCCTCCACACTCAGGTCAGCCCGGCAGAGATGGAGCAGGTGTCCCCTGGGGTCCAGCCCGGCTCTCTACCTCTGCCTGGTATGAAGGCTGTCCTGCTGGGAGGGCTTTTAGCTATGGGATCCAGGGGCTGTCTCACAGTGGGGAGGAGCGGGGGAAGAAACTTCTTTCCAAACAACTCTGAAAGGTCCAAACCGTAGGCCTCCCATTCCAGACCAGCTTTCTGTCCAGTGCCACGCGGACCCCCAGGTCCCCAGGCTCTGGTTTCCCTCCGTCCACCACTGTTCCCGAGTACCGAGCACTCACTGCATGCAGCAGAGATGACTTGAGCCTTGCCTCCCCTAGGCCTCCCTCTGGAGAGACCTTCCATCAGTCCG